ACCATTTTTTTGTCCGTACCGTCACATTCTCTCTCTCTCCTTCCGTGATTCTCGCGCGGTCACTTCCTTCGTTCGCGCACCTCTTTTCTCTCTCCCAACCGCCACTCACTCCGCACTCTTATCTCTCTCCCGACCTCCGCTCGTACTGTAACCTTCTCCCTCTCTACTCCTGCGATCCTCACTCGGTCTGCTTCCTTCCACTCGCCTCACCATATATCCTCACCCAGCCTCTTCCGTATACCCCTACCTTCGTAAGCCGTGGCCACACACGTCACACATCCAACCAATTCACAATCAAATTAACACACACATTTAGAGTTTGGTACCGTACCTCCCATTTCCATTTTTCCCTCCTTCGGCCGAATCTGCTATCATCGTCCGCGATTTCCTCTTCTCTCTGCTCCGCTTCCTTTCTCCCTCCTTTTGGAACCTTCCTTCCTCTTCTCTCTCTCTCCTGCTCCCCTTCTTGCTCTGCTCTCTTTCTTCCCTCTTTTTTTTCTTTTCTTTTCTTTTCTCTTCCCCTCTCTTCCTTCCCCCGCCCCCTACTTAAATCATCCCAGTTTTTCCTTTTCCAAAATGACGCTGTTTTCTCCCCTCTGCAAAACGACGTCGTTTTTCCCTTCCCTCTCCCTCTTTTTTTTTTTCTTTTTCCAGTTATTACACGAGGTATATATACATACATATCTCTATATATATATATATTCTTTAGTTTTATTTTTATTATTAAAGTTTGTTCATGTTTAGAAGTCCAAACACGCATATAATTCTAAAAAATTAAATTTATGCAAAATAATAACAAATTCAAAACATAAGAATTGAATTATCACAACAAATACAAGATTAGAATTAGAATAAATTTATAATTTATTTTTTAAGTTACTATCATTATAATTAAAATTTAAAGAAAATTATAATTTTGCCAACAACTTACTTAAACTATATTCTTAAGTAATTAGTTTTTGAAAAAAAAATAGAAGTTCAAAAGTAAGTAATTTTAAACACATAAAAAAATAACCATAATGATAATTTATAAAATAAACAAGTAATAGCTCCAATTGACCAGACTTTTCGTCTTATCATTATGATAAAAATTGTTTATGTGAACTACCATTCGTTAGCCTTATTTTAGCTAATTTGATAACAATAGTATTAATTTCATCAAATAACTATATATTTATATATTCAAACTCGTTTATAGATTTATATAATCAAAATTATATAATCAATAATAAAATATAAAAGATTCTCATATAATATCATACAAATTGCAGTACATCTCAATAAGTAAAATATCAATTTTTTTTAATAGAATTATAGAATCATTCATTTAGACTATGTAACTCTCTATATAGATATATATAATAACCAATACTTAACTAACCATTAGCCTATCACTTAAATATTACAAAGAACACAAAGAATGCTTAATTTATTATCGTTAATATTGTTAGGCATTGTAGTAACTAGAAAGAAAAAAAAAGACGTCATTTTGAGATAGACGGGCAGGAAAAGAGGAAAGAAAATGAAACAAAAGAGAAAAAAGGAAAAGGAAAAAAAGGAGGAAAAGAAAAGAAAAGAAAAGAGAAAAGAGAAAAGAAGAAAGGGAGAAAAGGAAAGAAAATAGAGAAGAGAGAGAAGAGCCGGAACGGAGTGGAGGCTGAAGAAAGAGAGAGGAGGAAACAGAGGACAGTGACAGAGCAAGCTAAGGGAAGGAGGAAAATGGAGACGAGAGGTAGAGAGGAGCGAGAAGAGAGATAGAGGGGGAGACAGAGGACGGTGACAGAGCAAACCAAGGGAAAGAAGAAAATGGAGACGGGAGGCACAGTAAACTCTAAGTTTCATGCGTTGGTTGTTGTAGTTTGAAATATTGACCGTAGGTGGGGGGATTTTGTGTGAGTAATAGTGGAGGTGTGTGGAGGAGGCCGCGGAAGGAGAAAAAAGAAGGAATGTGGCGCGTGAGGGAGGCCCGTGAGGGAGAGTATGAGCGGGGCATATGGAGGAGGCTAGGCAGTGAGAGAAGAGAAAAGAAAGAGTATGGTGTGGGAGTGAGGTTCGTGAGAGGAAGGAGATCATGTGTAAGCATGAATGGAGGCTTATAGAGGAGGCCGTGGGAGGAGCGAACAGAAGGTGCATGGCGTGTGAGTGAGGTTTGTAAGAGGGAGGAGATTTGTGTGAGCACGAATAGAGGTTTATGGAGGGGACCGCAGGAGAAGAGAGAGAAAGGAACGTGGTGTGTGAGTGAGGTTCGTGTGGGAGAGAGGATTATGTGTGAGTATTTGGGGAGGTATGAGGAGAAGTCCGCGGAAGGAGCGAGAGGGAGGAATGTGGTGTAAGAGTGAGGTCTGTGAGAGAGATGTGATTTCAGGATTTGAGAGTGGAGTATCTAGAGTAGGCCGTGGAGGGAGAGAGAGGAAGGGATTTGGTGAGTGAGGTGGATTTGTGTAAGAGAGGAAGTAGTGTGTGGATGCAGAAAATTTGGGAAGAGGAAAGAGAGGCCGTAGAGCGTGGGTTTGAAGTGTTGAACTGGAGGTGTGTGGGTGTAGCTATATAGGGCGAAAGGATGAGTGGTCTCGCTGTGTGGTGTGACGGTAGGGGTTATATATAGGTTGGTAAAGCTGCTGTAAATTGGGTAGTTGAGAAGAGAACGTTACGGGTGTGGGTGTGTTAAGTATTAGTGTGTGTCTTATGGGGAGACGCGTGTGGTTTAGGTATACAGGTTAAAAGTATAGTAGAGTTTCAAGGTAAGGTGGTGGAGTAAGGATAGGATGATATTATTTTTGGGTTGGTGGCATTGGGGATGCCGATGTTGGCTGTCGCTACTAAAGAAGTAAGTTGATCGTCGATGGTGATGATGGTTGGGAGACTCCGACGGGAAGGGGTTTGATCGCTGATATTCTTAACCTAGCGGATAGAGGAACAGGACAATAATGATTTCGTTATTTGGCATGATTGAATGTGTAATAACTAGTGGTAGGGTAGACAATGTGTCTGCTGGAAGTCTGTGAGATTCTTTTTCACTGTAATATTATATGTGGAGTTGCAGGTTTATTGTTACTCTGAATAATAGATTGCAGTAAAGTTTCTAGGTTTGTGGTAGATTTAGAATGATGCGTTCATATGTGGCCGTGGGATTGTCGTAGCTTACGCCATAAAAAAAAAGGGCATTACAAGCATATTCAGTTTCATACGACATGAACAAGAAATAATCAAGATATAATTTATGTTAATTAAGTGTGTGATTGATTGAACCCAGATACCAAATGCGATTAATAATATCATGAAAAAGCTTAGTAAATTTATTTTTAACTAATAAATTAATCATAACTTTCTTACCAATAACTTGAATATTATGAGTTATTGGCAACTTTTAACAAAAAAAAAAAAAGAAAATTTATGTATCAAATATTAAAATGAACCATGTAAAGACATAATATTAGAGAAAAACAGGTGAGACAAAAACATGAAATTAAATTTCCATATATAAATAGAGCAGTAACCCTTACATTTTATTATAAATTATTTATTACCTATTCTCAAATCTATTATACAATATCGGTTACTTATAATTTTATTTAAAACGTAATAAATTCATTTACAATAAATTATGCAAGTGTAACTATAAAAAAATTTAATTTTTAAATAATTAAGAAATTAATAATCTTATGTAAAATAACTATCATATATTAGTCATTAAAATGTAAAAATAAATTATAGAACTTAAATTTAAATTTCGCTAAACTACAAGGAAAAAATTTTATTTAATCATAAAAATAATTTTCAGTAATGTAAAAATATAAATTTTTTTTTCAATTAATTGATAAATAGTTTATTGAGAAATCGACAGACTCCTCTTAAAGAAAATTCAGAAATTGTCAAATATATATATGTATATATATATATATATATTTATTTTCCACATTTTAGTATAATTATATAAAATTCTGGATTTTCATTTAAAAAATTGTCGTTAAATACCAAAAATGAAGTGAATGGGACCCAACCAAAATCCAAAAGTCCACCCAAATTTTCGCTAATATTTCTCCAAGAGAATTTCCAAAAACCATGCAGTTTTGGCTCTCGTTCTCACGCTGACGGTCAAATCACATGCTCCCTTGTCTATCCAATGACAAGCCACCAACCACACCGCGACAAATTTTGTCCAGACTCATCCAATCATATGTCAAAACGTGCACTCTAAAATAAACTTGACCGCACCTGATCCATTCTTGTTTGCTTTCCTCTTTACACGCTACCATGTACTAAACTACTACACAGACAGTCTGTACTGATCAAAATCCGAGCAGCGATACATTGATGGTGGAAGCCATCAAAGCCCTTTTGCTTTGTTAGTCTTCTCCTCAAGATCTTTTCTCCCTTTTCTTAAATTTCGCTCGAATTCCCAAATCAACCAGCGACAATGATGAGAAGCGGTAAGTGTCGAGACCCTGAAATTTGCTATTTCCCTCCGTTGATTTGTCACTCGGCACTTTTTATTTTCATCTGGGAAAAGAAACAATCTAGCGTGCATCTATCGGTCAATATGTTGCACATGCGTGTATATACGTGTTCATTTCTATTAAACTGACTGGTTTGTTTTCTTCGTTTGTGGGTGATGGCAGATTGGTGAGATCTAGGGGTTGTTCGCGGGAAGTGATAATGCCAAGGCAAATCAGGAGTGTGGAGAATTTGCTGCAAGGGAAGATCAGGAAGCGGGGGTGTTCGTCGTCGGCGTCTTCGTCGTCTTCGATTCTACAGAACTACAGGTTCAAGAGAGCGATTGTGGTGGGGAGGAGGGCAACCTTTGATTTCCCCGATGTGGTGAACAAGTCGAATTTACTTCTTTCCCCTTTCCCTTAAAGTGAAATTATATGTTCTTCAATTTCTTATATGCATAATACTCATGCTGATCACCTTCTTCATGTTCAGATTTGCCAAATAGGAGAGATTACGAATAAAGCCTACGCACATTTCCTAAGTCTATCGTATAATATGAAGGCTGATTTGCGTTATTATTTGATACATCCTTAAATCTCTTATATTTGGTATCAATATTATCTTATATTTCAAGTTTGCTAATTTAATGCAGTTCAATGCTAATCTAATGTAAATTTTGTGCGTGGACGG